GCGGCCCGAACAAATACTTGTCGAGAGCAAACATGTTCCGCACTCCATGATCTGGACACAACCTTATAAAGGGGTGGGGCTGAGATACTATGAAACGTGACGGTAGAGTGAACTAGTTGCATGGATAACATGTATAATTATTTATTGCTGATTTTACTAATAATTTCAGAATGAAATAATTATTATGTAAGGATCATTATGCTTTTCACGGCAAAGACATAATTATCAAAATGAAATTCTGAATACTATCAACGGAGTATAACTAAATAGATTGTGGCTGCTACATTTACGAAATACAAATATTTTAAAATACCCAGCAATCAAACATTACTTTCGAAATTGTCTCATGTCCCGAAAGCTCGGAACTCCACCGCACATCCATTAGATCTCTATTTATAAAAAAGCAATCCGCAATACATTGACACCGGATCGGAAACTTCGTCTACTGTCAACAAACAAAACAAAACTAATATTTCAAAAGTCAATAGTTTCGGATTCCGAATTCAGAACATTGGAAGCATCTGAACCCACCGGGTTCAAACGGGGCAAAGTAACGTCGGATGAAGGGGCGCGCTTGAAATTGCCGTTAAGTATGTGGTGGGGATATAAAAAGGGGGCAAAGAGGCTTAAAGGGCTTTGCGCGGCTCGCGAGTGCCAAGTTTTCACGGAGTTATGCCCTTACAGCTTGTTTGTTCACGTGCCATTTCCTATGTGATTAAGTGGTGGATTTTGTGGGACAACTTTGTAAAGAAATATTGTAGGTGTGTCTCTACTGCTACGGGAGTTTAATGTATTGTCGAATTACGAGTGTTGTTTAATGAGGTGTTGCTTCGAATTAGATATTTTTGTTTGGATGCATGTGTTTGTTCTTCAAAGCATTTATTATAGACTTCAGAGGCGAAGCATGGCAAGTGAATTTTAAGATGAAGTATTGTACTTAGTTAAAAATAACAGCGTGTTCTCAACACAATATTTATTCAGCGCGAGTGCTAGTTTCACACCTAAGGCAAGAATCCCAAGAGTTTATTTAACAAGAAACTCATTAAAATGTCTTTCAACACTTTATCTTCAAAGGAAAATTACCCGACAATTTCAATATTTTGCATGCAACACGCGAAAGCTGAGCGTAATGCAATTACATTGCGACACGGCCACGGTGACAATGTACGCGCCGGCAGATTCTGCACTACGCCGCGCGGTCCCACGTCGGGCGCCAATATTATAAGGAAGCAAAATAATTTCTTCTTATTATGCACTCTAAATTATTTATATTTTATATAAAACTATGAATTTGTTTATGTAACTAAAATGTAGTTTACTGTAACTAAATTTCCGAGTAAAAAATGTGCAATTTTCATTCGTTTTCCCTCTTTTTTTTTCATCTCTAGAGCATACAAAAAATGTGGGTCATAACCTATAACGGTGTTAAACGGGCGTACTGTGAAACTTTCCACAAAAACTACTAATCTAAGGTTAAAGTTGAACATTCTGAGCCTCTCTTGTATCCCTCCGGCGGCGGCGGTAAAACTAAGATGTTACAAGTGCGGGAGTCCCCCACTAGAGGCGAACTCCTCACAAAACTCGCAAGAACATTGTAACTGATATTCAATAGACTATAAGTCACCTTGTTGAAAGCTAATAGAGTGGAGGTGAGGCTCGCAGCCGGTGCCTCTTTATTAATACCCGGAACAGTGCCAGATAAATTATGACGTCACTTAATCACAAATCCGCCATTGCTCTTAATAGCAGCAGAGGTCGAAAAGCATTGATTTATAATAACGACTAATTCGACCGGGAATTATCCGACTGTGCAGCTTTGTGATCGAAACTCAACCGTTAAGTTTCCAAATTGAGTCGTCTGTATTATCAATGAGCAAAGAGTGGGTTCGTTAAATTGTTCATGAGCTTGGCTTCAGAGCTACAGTAATAAAATATTGAAATCCTATTTTGTAGAAATCAGCTTAAAATAACTCCAAGTATTTTAGAATTCTTGTAATGTCCGTTTCTTTGATATCCATACAGTTGGATCAGTGGCACGACACTGGTTGGAGGCGGTGCGAATCCTACGCAGTGATCTGTTACGCAACACGTGTGCCCGGGCACACGCTAGGGTTGTCTACGGATTAAGATATTTTTATTATATAGACCGTTTTTATATCATTAAAATTTGAATAAACATATTGTTTTTTGTCAAAACGGCCTTAAGCTTATTGCCTCAGTGGTACAAAATAAATAAAAAACAAAACTATATTTCTTTTTACTGTTGAATAAATAATGTGATTGTGATACTCGCAAACTAAAAATTACAAATTTATTTTCACTGTAGACACACTGATAAAGTAATCAACTTTTCTTATTCATCATTTGTTTATCACCCAAAGAATTTAAGTAAATAATGTACAAGCTTTCTTTGTTAGTGGAATGAGCAAAACAAAAAAGGTGGAAAATCAGGCATCTCATGAATACCCACAAATATATAATTCATTCGGTTACTGCACCAGTGTTGCCTGCAATCGTCGCCTTACAAACGTTCCCAGTTCGATAATTAAGATAAATAAGTAAGCAAAGGAACTAAAATTCCGATTGTATCGCGAGTCAGAGGGTATCTGAACCAGGTCTCGTAAAATATGCACTGTATTGAGTGTTGCGCAGTGCGGCACCGCGGCACAGCGGCCCGTCTGCGGCGACTCTCGAATTTAACGGCAGACTCCGTCAAAGTAAACAACGATGCGTGGTTAAGCCAGTTTCGCAGTTTGTCGTTTGGTTTTAGGATTGTTGGTGGTCTTATCTGTTTGTCTATCTACCAACTATACAATTATAGATTTCGAGCTTAGAGAGTTCGGCTCTAAGCTGACGGCTTTTATTTATCTCTTGTTTGGTATTGGTCGGGCTCTTTGCTCTGTGGATTATCTCTGCTAATGTATGTCTACGATATCACAATACTGTATGTAAATACGTGATCGTGGGCGTACTCCTTCCTTTACTGATGTTTGAAGATAGTAATGCCCTTTGGGAAAGGTCAATTTAGTAATAATATTACGATAGCATTAGAGGAGCTTGTGACTAACTATGTTAGCGTTCTTAAGGTTAAGTCTAGACTGATGACGGTCAGTTGTTATATAGATTGGTAAGCATTAATAAAGTTGTATCAACAGTATCCTATCATCGAAAGTGCTCAGACCTAAATTATACTCTGTGAGATGTGAGATTAGATATCTAATGAATAAGAAACAGTCTTCGGTATCTTATTCGATACATACATGTAGGTGGTTTTAATATATTGAAAATATTTAAATATTTAAGGCTTCCTTGAAACTAAAATGTGAGTAGTAGATGACATTCTTGTCACGTGTGGTCGTAAACTAGTTGCTTTTAAAAGTGCAATAAAACATAAGGAGGATATGTTGCCGGTGGCCGGCCATTCGACCGAGCTCTATCGTTTACTTCACTTCCAGGAATTACATGGAACTTTAATTAGATATCAGTTATATATATATGCAGCTAACTCATGGAATGTTCTAGATAATATTTAAAGAAAACGATAACAATATAAATTAAACTTTTACATAACAATACTCCTATTATTGGCTAAATTATAAACAGAAGTTATAGGTTTGTAGGATCAGGGTCCGACATTATTTGAAAATAAAACAAAGGGCTTCACACAATCACTTAGTTTATTTCGATTAAATAAACTAACATTCACATTAATTTTTAATTATAATAATTGAATAATTCAGCACTGATTATATAAAGGAAACACTCAAATAAAACCAACAATAAAATTACTCAGCGATTGCGTAACGTGTGAACTGGGCAACGATCGACGAACGACTGACTAGAGCTTGCGCTTGCGCTGCTTTATATATCACTCGGTGGTGGGGTTGAAGTGACGTCGGTCAGTTGTTTGTTCACTGCTCGCCCATTACATTCGCAGTTTACAAAATAATGACGGCCGCGCCGACAGGTTCAATCATTTGTTTATTGTTTCTTTGATTAATATTACCTACCCTTACAAAATAGTAATTAATGTTATAATGGATTCTACCCGTTTTAGTGAAAAACGAAGTGTGAGAGAGAACAATCAGCGTGCCAACCGCGACATAATAGGACGGCGATGTGTTTGAATTCAATTTCCGATCGAGTTAGAAGTGAATTTATACTACAGTTCAATCCATTCCCGAGCAATAACCTGAGTTCGGAGCGGCATAAATTTCACGTGGATATAGTAAAAGCAGCCGCAATAAACTTTCTATTTTAGTTTTATTACTTTTACCTGGTCGGGAATTTGTAGTACAACTTGCTTCACCTCGATATATCACATGTTTGGACATCCTCATGATAACTCTGCCACTACTTTTATTCTGATGTTTAGTATACAGTTACTGCGGCTAGTATTGTGTAGTTTTTACTATGTGAAAGGATTTTTATTATAAAATCGTCTCGTTGACTGTAAACACTGTTATTGCTGAGACTTTATTGCAGTGCCATTACGTATTTTTCCATATTCATGTTTGAATCTTGGGCGTTGTTACTTTTTTATCACAACATAACGCTGTCATGCTTTTTATTTCCAAGGTTGAAAAATACTTCGTAATGTTTTAATGCCTACTTTCCCCCAGTAATTCTATAAATCCCACCGCCTATAGAATGACTAGCAGCTGTAGCCAAATGCCATTTAGCGCTTGTCTACTTGTAGAATAGAAAACCACAATAGCATGGAATTGACATAAATTTTGACATAAATTTTGACATTTGTCAGTGTCATCCCTCTCTGTAGACAAGCGCTAAAGTGGCGTTTGGCTAAAGGCACTGACTGGTTTATCTGTCATATTGTTATTTATGACTTTCGTTATTTTCATTGAAATTTTGAAAATCATTTTAATACTATGATTAACCAAAAATCTAATCCAAATACTTTTAGTCAGTTGCATTTACAAACCAGCCCCCCATGCCAACATTATTTTTTAACTTAACCTTAAAATATCCTTCCTATCCAGGTGGCATGGATCCACATCGACCGGCAGATGATCCTGACCATCCACCGGCATGTTATCACAAGGCTGGCGCGGTTCAGCGTGTCCCATGATAACGCCATGACCTGGCTGCTGCACGTCAGCCAGGTGCAGCAGGAGGATCGAGGGTACTACATGTGTCAGGTCAACACCAACCCCATGATTAGCCAAGTCGGATACCTACAGGTTGTCGGTGAGTGAATTCTATTTTGTTTTCATTATTAGATGGTAGAATTTACTGCACTTCTAAAACACGTAATTTTCTAGTTGCATTATGTACGTGATTATAGGGAGTACCTTAATTACTATCTTTTAAAATCAGACATTTTATTTCATAGATGTTGCAAAAATAAAAAATGCAAAGTTTTGACTGCACGGTTGGTGCGGTGGTTGGGCCACCGGCTGACGTGCAACGTGTCGCAGGTTCGATTCCCGCACGGAACAACACTTTGTGTGATCCACAAATTGTTGTTTCGGGTCTGATTGTCATTGTGTATGTGAACTTGTATGTTTGTAAACGCACCCACGACACAGAATAAAATCCTAATGTGGGGCAATGTTTTTTTTTTTAAGTTATGCTTAAAAGTTTTGTCATGACAACTAAAATGAAATAAGATAAAAAATGTATTGCAGCCCTGTTCAAAAGCATGCCTTTTACATAGCCACGAGGTACTTGAGTAACAAATGCATTTTTCCATCTTTGGATTATGCACTTTATGGTCGAGTAACTTCACTGTAGGACCTACAGGCATAAAGAAAGGCGCCTTTGTTGGTATAATAGGTTTATAATACTTTTTACGCCTAATTTTATTGAATTGTATGAGAATATTATTTGCTTCCAAACAACCCATTTGATAGATAGATAGATATAATACCACCAGTTGTAATATCAATTTGTATAGTACATATTTTGTGTTGTGTTAGTATTATGCATGGGTGCAGTGAACTCCACGTGCATCAAACACTCAGGATCCTTTGGGACGTTAGATTTCAGGACCCACCGATATATGTGTCGGGCGCGATTAGATGCGACGCAAGCACCGCTTATGTAGACCTAACCAACACACGACAGATGCAAGGTTCTCACGTTCCTGTTTACTTGTGCTAGATTTAATTCAGTATACATGCACCCTAGTATTTCTAAACTTAAATACCACAAACCATGTTTATTCAGCTTTATTTAAATTCTTCACAAAACCGCACCATAAACAAAATAACTCTTTAACAAAAATCATCAACGTACCCCAATGTTTGCAAATGATTTGAGCTGAATCCATTAGCACCTAATTATATGTTCTCATTCACAACTGGAGTTATTTGGGAATATAATGGAAACTTATTAATCAGGAATGGGAAAATATCGACGAGCCCTGTTTACCGCTGATCCTGCTCAACGAAGAAACTTTTAATTACTTTCCTTTAGTATTTTGAAAGGGTAATAGCTTCTTCTTTTGCTTCTTATCGCTTTGTGAAATAAACTCTTTGGCAAAATTTAATTGTTATTTTATACTGTCGAAATAAATTAGTAAGCGGAGTAATGAAAATGATTACTTTTGGTCGTAATTATGTGTTTCTGAGCCTCAAACAACATTCCAGTGGAATGACACAACTTTCTTTCCGCGTCCATAATTTCCTGCAAGCGACACGAGGATGAGACAGCGTAACTCAGTGTGAGCGAGCCCCGCGTATCATCCGAACATAAATTGTAGTTTGTTACAGCAATATAACTGTCATCTTACTAATCTGCACTATCAATAACTTACCTGTTCTTGGCATCTCCGGCTTGTACTGGTGCCATTGTTTACATCGCACCATGTACTTACTCCGCTGCCATACTGCTAAATTTGTCGTTATTAACAAATAATTTCAGCGCTCCAGCCCGAAAATCAGCAAATATGGAACGTAGCCAAAGTCTCGGTAACAATTCAGTGGAGATAACATTCGTATCTGGTGGTCGGTGGAAATGTTAGGTATAAAATGGCGTAGGCGTGGTTCGGTCCCAAATCACCGATACGGGTAACACTTAGTCTTTTATATGGCCGTTTCCTACAAACTTTTAAGTGGAAATAAAGCGGTGGTTTTTTCTCGTGTTTGCATTTTAAACGTGCCACGTAGTCTTTATCTTGTTTTTATTGCTTTAGGACGCAACTTGTGGCCGCTTATGTGTTCTAAATCCGTATCTTTTATTTTTGGAAAGGGATTATGTGTAATAGGAACTGGGAAACTGCAAGTATTCCCTACCTTTTGGAACTCGATTCTCCTTTTCTCTTATTTAATGCCATATATTTCCACCAGTACCGCCAAATATTCTGGATGAAGAGAGCACGCAGTCTGCAGTAGCAGTGCGAGAGAACCAGAACATCAGCCTGGTGTGTAAGGCTGATGGGTTCCCTACACCCAAGATAATGTGGCGTCGAGAAGATGGACAACCTATCTCAGTGGACAGGAGGAAGAAAGGTAAATATTATTTAACGCTTGAATTTAAAAGCTTTTACATAGACAGTTACAAAATTATAATAATATCAGTCTGCAATTGATATATAAAACGTCGAAGATATAACCAATTAATATGACGACTTACTGTAAAATGTCTAGCATACTATTAAGTTCCACATTATAAATGACATAAACAGCAGTAAAGAAGACATCCAACAATATTTTATTCATACGTACAATTACTTAGGAAGAGCAACTCCCGAAAGATGCCGCAATCTAAAATCGCATTTTGAACTGAGTTCAGTTTGCTGAAGTTCTCTTGCGGCGTCAGCAAAGTTGTTTAATTGAGTGTCAATTAGTAGCGAATGTTGCACGCGATTTATCTACATTGCACTGATAGGGCCACTGCCAATTGCTGTTAAAATGCAATTTATCTTCTCGTTATTTTGAAGAGAATTTTTAGGGTTGCAAGTTTTTATTTGCTGAGTTTGTTAAATAACATTGTTTGTTACATTTCAACGTTGCGCTAACAATTTCACATGGTACTGATATTTTTGCTTTCAGATTTACTCTGATATTCAATCCCTTTTTATAGAAGCACTGTTTTATATGGATTGTCAGTATACCAACATATGTGAGCACCATGTTAGACTAGAAGATATTTTTTTCTTTTTGTTTTGTTTTTTATTTTAGTAAGTTCTGTAATTTGTATAATGCGTCAAGCGTGTTGCGTCAACATTGCTCTCACATATGTGTACAATATTGGAATATGTTTCAGAGAAATTGTAAAACACACTTTTTTAAAAAGAGTAGCGAATGGAGTTTCTTGCTCGTTCTTCTCCACTCGAATACATTTTGAAACGAGCGCCTAGCTTCACTGACGGACAGACTGACAAACTATCATTTATATTATATTTGTTGACGTTTCAAAAGTACCAAATTATCGTTTAATTTAATAAATGCTTTTGCATTTGAGTTTTAATTTATCCAACATTAATGACTAACTGAAAACTTATTAGTTGTAAAAAAACACTTTGGCTGTGTGAGTAGTTCACCTTTAACATAAAGTATCGTGAACATGTTTGTTGCTGTGAAGAACACAATTTGGCAAATGTTGAGCAATTTGTCGTACGTGTCGCGTGCTAAACAAATGCGGCCCACATTTGTTATGACTCGTTGACTTAGTTTTGGAAGACACTATGTTGTATGTTGGTACATGAATATAGATGTCAAGGAGTAATCATTTCAGTTTTTCTTTGTTGTTTGTGAATATTACTTGAGATAATTTTAAAAATATAGGTACCAAATAAAAAATATTACTGGGTTTTCTAAAAAATCTCTGGGTCTGGAAATTAGCCAGGTATGTGGCAATAGGCTTACTCCCTATTCCATGGGACTCATAATATAAGTAGTGGAAAGTGTGTCTTACATTTTACAGTGACATTAAGTGCCGTAATATGCACCTCTGCCTACTCCTTCGGGGATAAAAAAGCGAGATGTTATGTACGCACCAACTTACCACATTCAGCTTTTGCTGTGGTACAAACACGCACAAACTCAGAACTATACTTAGTGGATTACACAAAGAACTGTCCCAATAACAAATGAATACTGGCAATCTATTTCAATAAAATGAAAATAGCGCACCCCCTACAAAAGTATGTTTATGGTCGTCGCATTGTAGTATATACGTAGTACCTGTCCAATGTCCATGCACACAAACCTTGTAACTTTGTTTTCATCGTAGCGCCATTTCGTCGAGAATGTCAAGGCACTTGGTTTTTACGCTCGATTTCGGGCGTCCTCGTATTTAGTCTGCATATTATAATTAATAGAAAATATAGCAGTATCGTAGTGCTCTGAGGTTTAAGACGCCTGCTTCTCATGCATAAGAAGATGTAGGTGGTGGAGATGTAGGTTCGAAAACTATCAACAACAAGTACCAATGTGACTTTTTCTGAGTTATATGAACTTTTTAAGACTATTCAGATGCCATTTACAAACGGTGAAGGAAAACGTCGTGAGGGCACTTAGACTTATAATTTCTAAATACAAGTTTGAAATCGCCAACCTGCATTGAGCAAGTGTGGCGATTAATGCTCAAACCTTCTCTGTGCGAGAAGCCTTCACTCAGCAACGGTCACGTATAGGTTGTTGATTTAATGTGATAACAATATCCAGTGATAGGTTACAAAGTGCACGTTAACATTATAGATTGCAATAAAACTAGCTTAACGGTTCATTTCGTTTTTATTAGGAACGTTTCTTTTCATTGTTCCGTCGCATCGTCTCCACTTGTACACAGCACTCGCTATAAATGTGAAATATATCCAGTTAGTTTTAATTTCACAATAAAAAGGAATGTTCTAACGAAGAATATTGTTGTCTTTTTGAGGATTAAGCTATCACTGTTATTAATACACACAAGAATAAAGCTCCATGCGTGACAGTGATATGAACAAACTATCTTGTATACCGAAAAAAGTCATAAGATATCATTGAACATTTTATGAAATGGGGATAATAACAATGTAGCAAAATTTGGTGTTGGACAGAAATATTTAATATCCAGATGTCATACAATATGTATCATACACTTGAAAGTTTCGACAAAATATTAACATTCCATTAAGTAAACATGTACAAGTCGTCGGCATGCCGAGTGGAACATGTTGCTATAAGATATAATATATTTTAACAATCCGCAGAGCGCAGCTGTTGCTGCCAACTACAGATCCAGTTCAGGGCTGCTCCTCGGAGACACTAAATTAAATTTAATTAACTTGAGGTTTTTCTTTGGAAAAATGTTTAAGTCTTAAGAATTAAGAAGGCTTCCTCGCAGTCTTATCTTTGGAATAGAAATGATTAATCTAATTGCTTTGTACAATTCTCGAATCCTGAACGTTTCTTGTAGTATTGTACTCTAAGATAAGCTCATTCGTTTTTTGCTTTACTAAAATTTCGTCGCATGAAAATTAATCTGGTCTGGCTCTCACAGATACTTTGTGATAATAATATATCATGTACGCTATCAGTAATTAGTAAATCATGTGGTTCACAGCTATCCTTTGCTGGTACCACAATAACTAAATTATTCATCAATCTACATATGAGTATGTTACTCCCTGCTTAGTAAACAGAGCACAGTTCTGATTCCACCATAAGGAAAACATTTCGATAATGTTACCCCAACATTTGGCGCTTTATTACTACTTATTCTATTGTTCCTTCCCCTCTATCCATAATTTTTGCATTTACTAATACCCCTGTAATGCCAGTAAATGGACAACTAGCTAATACGATTGCATCCGACCATTAACTGATAGAAAATAAAGTGGAACTAGCTTCTTCGATCCTCGACATATTTTGTTACAAAGTGGAGATAGAATTTTGTGACCGACATGGTGCTGGGGACGGAGTTTAACGAAGCTTCATTCTACACAATATCATCACTGAAAACGCGTGTTAGTGGAGAGCATTCTTCAATCTATCACAGAGGGCGATTAATTAGCCCTAAAAGTCCTTATAATACTACTCAACATTTATTTAGGAAAATGTTCCCATGCACAATACGAGTTTTGTTTCATAAACAGACTCTCTCGTGATCGCACTGCAGATATGATAACAAAACCAGTTTGCGCACCTTAATCCCACATCCAATATGACCTCCACTTGAGCGCGGTATTAAGCCTCATTTCAAGAAAAAATCCAGTTTAAAGATAATTATGGCGCGGAAAAGCTGAGTTGTGCCGCCAAATTAAACCGGTTGAGAGTACCCCGAGCGCGCCGACAAAGGCGTCCAAAAATTGAGTTTAATTTCAAGAGCGATTTCCTTGTACAGCGTAAAATTAACGTGTGGTGTCGAGAGGTACTTGTCGCTAATTGTGTGTGACCCTCTCCCCTCCTGTCATTCCCACGTATGTTTGTCCCGACGGATGTTTTAATTACGACCGCAATCGAAAAACTCCAGTTTCCGATTCTATACGTGTTAATCTTTTGTTTGAATTAATACGGTCGCGATGTACCCTTTTTACTCGCGTTGAATAGGAAGAGTCGAGTGCGGCTGGCCGTGCTGATGAATAAAAGTTGTCATGCCGAGTTTATACTAAAGCATTTAGATGTGACGCTGAGTGTGACGCGACGCGACGCCCGGCCAGCGAGCCGCGGATGTACTTTACTCGCCGCCTCAATAATGCACAAAATGGGAAAGAGGAAACAACATTTTTAGTTTGTAAAATCTTTTTAAAATTCCAAAATGCATTGCAATTTAAGAAAATGTAAGTTCACGTTTTTACTCGAGATTGGAATATAAAAGTAAAAAGCGGGAACAGTGAACAGCTGTCATCTGGCTGAGCAAGCTGTAATCGTCTCACTTAGTTAACTGCTCGAGCTCGTTGTATAATGAAAGGGTGACTAGAGGAGCTCTATTTTAATTTTGTGGAGCTGTGACATTGTTACTAAATTATTTATACACTTAAGCTGTCTACCTTCTGGCGCGCTGTTTACGTATTTACCTCTATTTTCGAGTAACCTTTTTATCATTATTCTATTTTAATGTTTAAGAAGCGAGGCCTTATTTTGCTCTGTAAAAAATAAACTTTGAATTTAACATTAGGTAACCTTCTTCAATATGTATTGTGTTACATACATTCTTATTCAAATTTATTATTAATCATCTCTACATTTTTCTTTGTCTTTTTTACATAAAAAAGCAATTTTTTACGTTCTAATAATTTCATACTTAAAATAATATGTTCGCTTATACCATCTGTATGTCACTCTAACATTGGTGGAACTGGAAACACGGGCACGGAAACTGATAACATGTTGTAACATGACAATTGTTCAGTTCATTCAATACTCTGACACTAATTCATTAATGTACGCTAAATATGATTTCAACTACTGAGTCACAACATGGTGCTACATAGAGGTAATATCTAAACACATTATAATATAATAGAGGACCGCTTAGCAGGACCGAATAGAGCGCTCGCCAGCTGATTGCCAAACCTAACTGGCTGTATAATAAACAATGTAAACAATAAAATAAACATTAAAAACAAGTACACGAGTGCAGGGAGAGCACTAATTGCTTAATGTATTCAAGTTGGGAGCGGAGAGCGTTCTCTCATTACATTCATTGCCGGGCTACACCGGCCGCGGCACAAAACGTACCGTAATTGTAAATAGAGGCAAACTCATTTGGCCACTTGATGGCCGCCCACCGACGGCTACGAGCCACGAATTTTTAATTTTTATACCTTCAGCTAGATTGTTTTAAATTTGCTTAGAGTAGTGAAGGGTTTTTCTTGGTTAGTTCGTTATAGAGCTGCAGTTATATAATAGGAAAACCGGTCAAGGTAGGGAAGGTTTCGAACTAAAATGGAAATTAATTAATATGCAATAAAAAAACATTACAATAATTGAAAAGAGATTCAAATTTCTTAAAGGTATTCTAACTACTGAATTAATTTTCGAAAATTTCTTGGAAAAGATAATTTTGCGAAATATTATGTAGGTAAGCTTACACTTCCACAAAATTCCTTTGAAACGAAATCGCTAATCTTTTAAGTTTAGGACACAGCATCCCCTAGATAATTCACACAGTTTCTTCCATGAAAAAGTTACAAACTATTCAAATATTCATTGTGTTTCGGAATATTGTTATTTTAGTTTGCTAGTAATATTATTTTGTTACACAGTTTTTTGTTCGTAACTGACACCAGCTACTACTGATCATTCGAACAAGTCATTTGACCAAGAAAACAACCATAAAGTTTTAGACTTTTCCAATGAATCACTCGTTCTTCTCAATACTAATCTACATTTTGGAATGAGCTATACTGACGAACAGATGGACTGACAATTTAACTTGACGATTTAAGTGTACATGCTTTATCTTAGACTTTGTTTAGTAACAGCTGTTTCTCTTGCAGTGACAGTGTACGAAGGCGACACCCTGAGCTTACAGCGCATCAGTCGCACGGAAATGGGCGCGTACCTCTGCATAGCCACCAATGCAGTGCCGCCCTCTGTGTCCAAGAGGATCATCGTCGATGTTGAATGTAAGTACTGTGACTAAACTTGTAATTTTTAAAACCGTGTATGACGTAATAGATCACAATTGTAAAATGAAAATCTGCAGAAATAATAATAATTGCTATTAATATGCCTCGTCAAAACACGAAACCGGTTGTACCGATTTGGTTGATTCTGGTTTCAAAAATATGTGTAGAGTACCGTTTTTACTGCGATGCTACTAGTACCTACAAAGTGTGTTACATATTATTATGTTATTTCGTGAAGAAAAGGAACGTTAGTATAATTTTACTTGATCTTCACTCTTCATAATTTCATCAGCCCACTATTATTGAATTAATTAGAGTAAGAGTGGGATCAAATATTTCCGAGTTGATTGCCCAGTCGACGATATTGCTCACTCAGATTCAATCCGAGCAATTGCGTGTAAAATCACTGGGGATCTGCTGTAATCCACAATTGTCTCACGTACTACTGCCGTATTACAAGCTTACAGCTCCCAGCTCGTTTTCCATTATGGACTAAGCGAAATTTCGCGTGACTATTTGTAGTAGCCTGAACTACATTTTCATACTGTCCATATCTGCAGAATAGTCAAGTGGCCTGCCCATGTCGCATGTGAGACCATGTAGGTATAGTTGAATAAACCTAATTGAAAAAGAACATGTGATTGGTTAAATTACCCTTACTGAATATAGTTGATCGGTGAGTATACTTAATGACTCATAGTCATCTGTGTCTTAGAGAACTAACTAGATGCATATTTTACAATTACAAGCCAAGACTCTAACATTAAGGACTATCATATTACAATGGAAGTTAGCCTCCCAAAAGAGATCCAATACTAGAACAGTACAAAAGAACTCGATGAGCAGTAACCATGTTTCATTCAAATCGCTGGTCAAAGCTTCTTCGTCCGTTGCTAAATTTGAGCACTGAAATTGTGTGTAAAATCGTGCACTACCCTCGAAGCTGTAATCCGCAATTGGCTCACGTACGATGGCTATTGGCGCATTACAAACTTACTGTATTGTTATGTCATTATTGATTTCGACTCAGGCCGAACTAGGCCTCGGGATGTCTTTGAATTTAGAAGATTTCTCTATGTTTAGATAATTCAGAGTTTAGATCATGTTAATAAATTGATTCTACTGATTAGCCATAAATCATTGTTTATTTTATTTTTATTATCAGTTGCTTAACATAATTAAATCAATTGATTCCCCTTCCTACGACGCGATGGCGTCACGACGCGGGCAGTGGACAAGTAACCCATCGGTGTTGATAGATTTTCAAGCATAGTTAACAGATTTACTATTTAAAGACCTTAAATGTACCTTAACCTCTAACCCATAAAGTAATCGACAAATGAAGAACAACTAATATCACGTTGATAAACATTTCAAATGCGTCCTAAGTCGTATTATTACGTGGAACATACATGGATTCTCTTTTGTTTATGACTCAACGTTCTTGTTGGAATCAATCAGTAGATACATGGCGTTCCATTATTTACTCGTTCAGTATAGACGAGTATAATGTCTCTGTGTTGGCTGCTAGTCAGTCGGTCCACGCGTGCACTAGCGCGCGACATCACTGCCTAGTACCCGTCACAACTTGCCGTGGTGTTCGATCTACTTCGCTGATAGTTTTATAATAACTTGCAAAAAATATATTTGCCTTCAGTTTGCAAAGTTATGTCTATAGTTTGATGGAAGGAATTATCTGGGGATTTATGATTAGATAATAATACATAGTACAAAATGTGAATAAATAGTAAAGTGCATTTACTACATAAATTCAACAATTTGAGAATATCGATATTTTTATAATGTCCATAACGACATTTTACTCGTTAGTACGGTCAGGTTTTCCATCCTTTATACAAATATCATATTTAAAATGTTATTTAATTTCGTTTGTTTAATAAAAACATATTGTTTTTATTTTATTTTTTATTTATTATATTTTATTTATTATATAATTAACAAGTTTTAAAAACTGAGCAGAATCCAGTAACTGAATATATTTGGAATCTGAACCGTATTCGGCATTAAATAACTATTTGACGAATAAAAATGTGCAATATATGGGCATCAACAATAAATACACATCAACGGCCTATAAATGGCCATTGCTGACCAAAAGCCTCTTCTCAAACGGAGAAGGTTTGTGCATTAATCACCACGCTTGTTCAATGCGGGTTAGCGATATCGAACTTTTAATTAAAAATTATAACGTCCAGGTTTCCTCACGATGGTTTCGAGCCATCACCAATAATAATACATACATACACAACTTCACGCCTGTCTCAGCTCCCATGGGGGTAGGCAGAGACTAAGGAACGCCAATTACTACGATTCTTACATACCTCTTTCGCTTCATTAACAGTCATCAATCTTTTCATGCATGCTCGTCGGTTAAGGGTACCAATAATAATAATAAGAATTATAATGTAATATTCTAGAAGTAAAGTTTTCTTACAAACAGTCGTATGAACGCTTGATATAACTGTACAGCGAAGTTGAACCATCAATCTTCAGCGGGAACTTCGCAAAGTATTCATTGTTTTAATATCCTTCGAGACTGGCTACCGAGTAATGCACTCTTACATTACAACCTGGCTTTAGGGTTATTGGCATATCAAAATATTTTAATAAAAATTACACGTTGTTCCTTGAACGATCAGAAATTGAATTTAAAATATAGCTTAAAGTGAATAATTATGTCATTTAAATATCATCAACAGCTTGTCCTCTTCTGGACTGTGGGACTCCTCTACACACGAGAGGAATTGCCATAATGTTCACGCTTGATGGGGTTAGAGATCGCTATACAACATCAGCGTTTATTTGTTTTATTTTTTGAACTGGAAAATCTTCCAATGACTTCTCCCGCCTGGAGCTAGGCGATAGGGAGTGTCAGACTGTTACTGACTTTAACCACCCCGTTCCTGCTCCTGCTCTTCGAGCCGGAGTCCCGCAACCGGAGCCGCGGAAGACTAAGGTCTTCCGCATCGGGTATCAGCCCTACTGGGTCAAACATGTTGTGGTCTGGTGGCTCTGTGAGGTGGTGAAAGAGTAACAAACAAACATAAAAGCTTTCTCATTTATAATATTAGTAAGATAGTACTTACTAACGTTAGATAGACACTCATATTACAAGGCATTCTCGTGGTTATTCTTACTCAGTAATAATGCATAAAGTCGGTAGGTGAAGTGACGTTCCAAAGAGGCCGGCTTCCAGATGACGTGGTAAGAATAGGCAGCCCGTACTTGTGCACCACCTTTATAGGAGTATAGGTGACCTACATCCTTAATATCAGCGCATATTTTTACATCGCACAACTTTATGTCTACCATTTCCGATGTTATATACACTCAATGTTGAAAGATGTTTTTCTTTCTTATTTAAAATAGATGATAAGAAATGTGTATAGAATAATACTCTTTTAAAATGAATAAAAAAGAATGAGATTCAATAGGAATTCATAGCGGAGTTTTCCCTTTATTTTCAATTCTTATTACAAATCGCGGCTGACTAAATAGACGGCGGTGATGTCCCGCGATAATTGAAAGATAATATTTTTCGCATTGCCCACTCTGACGTGATTGTGGTGCAGATCCTTTCACTAAAGAAAAGCCTTTGAGATGTTTGAGATGAAATGTAGTTTGCGATTAATCGCCTTTGAAAGGCAAAAAAGAAAAGTTCGTGTAGACGTTATTAAAGAATAGAATGTTCTTTTTGTAAAAATAATTCTTTGCGACTTAAGTTCCAATAATTTAGACTGGGCGATAAAATTGTACTGTTACCTTTAAATTGTAAAATTCGGGTGAGTTTTTAAAATGTATTTTTCATATGTCTGGTTATGAGAGGACAGTAACGTGTGACAGTTAATTTTTGTACAGAATTGCAACCGTCCGCGGATTAACTTAACTACAATAACGGTAAATTGAAAGAAATAAAAATAAAGTTATTTTGTTTTACTGAATAACACGAATTTCGTATGGGTGTATTTTTGGGTTCAACTAGTAGTAAAAAAAATATTTTATTGTTCACAACTTAGGAATATCTTCTCACATAGATAGAGTTTAAAATTCTGCTCACTTCGTATACAATATGAGAGATTATATAACTACATTATGTATGTATGAATAAAAACTATGATATTTCTACATTTCGTATCCAAGATTTATTCAACACTAATGGAAGGATTACGAGACTTTTATTTTACGTTATAAAAAGCTATTACAGAATAAAGCCATTTCACTCGAAGATTGTCATTTTAATATAAACAACACATTATTAATTTAAACGCACCACCGACAGCGAACACGAAATGAGATAATGAAATCGTAAAAACATGAAAAAAAAGCACAAACTTTTTATAAATATTTTAAAACGTCGTAGAATATTAAAGAGTATTACTGGTGCCGAGTATAATACCTCGTGAAAATTGCCACCATAAACTCAACCGTTGTGAATTACGTTTTCAAAGTGTGGATTTTATTATCTAGCCGTTATGTGAAAAATCGTCGGGTGAGTTCGGGCGCAGTCGGCAAACTTCGTGCCGATCCATCATTATTGAAAGTTTATAAATTGCTTCCTTCAAGTTTGTATGTACTCGCAGCCATTCGTAGTGCTGCTTCAATTGATAACTTATAGGCAACATTACAGGCTGGCTGGTTGCGAGTGAACCGGTTCACTTCAAGTAACAAACTACTTGGTTTTGTAAATAACATAACAGCACGCCTTATATTCGTCAAAGCTGTAACATGAGTTGGTATGTAACGCCGACTTTTCACTAACTACGATTCCCATGTAATGTCCGTAATAAGGAGCGAACCTCTTGCTATAATTAGTGAAAATATTCAACGAAATTGATCCAACGGTAAGCACGATCACATTTACACCTAGTTATTTAATACAACAGTACATTTGAACATATTTGCCTTTCAACCGCATGACGCTGTAGAATCACATTTGCATTTATCGTGGAGTTCGCTCGAGTGTCTACTAGTGTACGAGTAATTACATGATGTTCGCTCGCAGCACTGCATTGCTGCGTTTCTAGCAATTGACCGGCACAGCTTATACTGCTCACTAATCATTAGGCACACTCTGTTTAACTAGATCAGCATGAAACTAGACATCATCATCATTATAGAGGTATGCCTAGGTACTGTCCTAGGCCGGTCTAGCTTTTGTTCCGGCTCCTCAATACACCGCTATAGTCTATTGGCTATCGACTTTACCTATTGTTGTCGATAACAATCTACTATGATATTAGTGTTTACCTAGATGTTGAGGTGAGCTATTCAGTTTGCTCGGATCTTATTAGTAAAATGTAATTAACTACTTAGGCTCATTTTGGTGTTTGTAATTTCTTGGTACGATCGACTCCTTCGTCTTCTTATAGCGCTAGAAAAACTGGCAAGAAATAGTTTCGGTGTCCATGTGTCAATGATTCATTAAAAATATTGTTTTCCATTTAATAACAATGTTATAATAATAATAATAATATGAATTTATTTCAGATTTCTCCATAAATTGTTAGTAACATGAAAATACTTAAAAACTATTGTTAGTAAACAAATTACACCCAAAATAAAAATACAATTAAAAATACATAGACTGCAGGACCAATCCCACGCCTGAACGCATCACTGTATTCTATTTGACTGCGTGCAGTCGTATCCAACGCTCAAGCATCGGGGAATCCCATCGGTCCGTCAATACGCTCAAGATGCTGTTGGAACTAGCTCGCATGCGAGTTAGGGTCGACGTGCAACGTTTACGCATGACTGTCGCAAAACTGTCAACGTTGGCCTCGGCAAACATACCCGAGGCACTACAATACCGCTGTAGCCCCATCAGCATCCTGAATGCATTGTTGTACTGCACCCGCAGGTCCCTGTATGCCCCCTGCAAGTAGCCAACCCACAGGCTGCAGGTGTAAAAGGATTGACAGTAAGCCTTAAACAGCGTTTTCTTTACTTGTGTGCTACAGCGTGCAAACCTGCGAATCAACATGTTACACCGGATAGACAAGGACCTGCGCTCTCTCTCAATGTCAGCATTGTCTTTTTGATCATCAGTAACCCAATGGCCTAAATACTTAAATTTAGAAACTCTTTTTAACGGGGTACCGTTCAGGACTATATTAGGTACATTATCATAGTGTTTAGTACCCGATTTAAATACCATAATCTCAGATTTAGTTGAGTTGTACTTAAGGCCATGGGTGTTTGCGTAAGTCTCACAAATCTTTATGAGCTCCCTCAACGCACAGATGGAGGGGCTCAGGAGCACCATATCGTCAGCATAGCTTATATTGTTAATACATACACTATCTATATGACAGCCGATTCTGGCGCTTCTGAGCCCCCCAATCAGCTCGTTCACGTAAAAGTTAAAAAGAAGAGGGGAGGAGAGTCCCCCTTGCCTCACTCCGCACTCCAGTTTGTACTCTTCCGAGAGAGTACCAGCCCATCGTACCTGATTTTTCTGTGCACTGTACCAATGTCTTAGCACAGCAATGATCTCCCCGGGTACACTAGTATCCTGTAGTTTATCCCATAGTTTGTCATAAGATACAAGGTCAAAAGCTTTTGACAAGTCTAAAAAGCAGGCATAGACAGGAGTTTTTCTAGATGTGTAATAGTGGACCGTCTGCTTGAGCGACAGAATAGCACTTTCGGTTGAGAGTCCAGACCTAAATCCAAACTGTGCATCATCCAAGTTCAGGTGTGACTCCAAGTGTCGCTCAATCAGACCGTCCAGTACCTTAGCTATAGTGGTAGCCAGTGAGATCGGCCTATAATTTGTGACATCTGAAGAGTCCCCTGTTTTATTTTTAATAACAGGGACTACGATAGTATGCATCATTTTCTCAGGCAAATAGGAATGAGACAAGCATATATTGAAAAATAACGACAGTACTCTCGGAAGGTGAAACTCCTGGTTATGATATGTCCTAGACTACAAAAGACTAGCTTAAAAACAATGTTTTCCAAGACATTTCATTTCTGCCCTTTGTTTAAATTTGCAGTATGTTTCTCAATTTAGTTAGTCAATTGAAACTCGATACAATTTAACAACATTTTAGTTAGATTAAAACTTATATCTAGAAGGAGAATTTTGATACAAAATTCATATTTGTGTAATCTAGTTCACGGGTGCTATTTGTCCGTTCTACGGGCGGTTTGAGTCAGATTAACTGAGCTCGAGCTCCGGCTCGGGTCGGTCCAGTGTCGGGCTCGTGTCGGTCCCGTGTTGTGTCACTATGGAATGCACTTTGTGAAATGTTAGATTAATATTTTGTTTAATCTTTTTTTTTCTTTACGACGGTTTATGATGTCCGAGCTGGTCTCGCTCGTTAAGGTAGTGTCGAGGTGACATGATTAGGTAAGTATACGAAACTCTATATTTTAAACTCTATTTTGCTGTGTAAGAGTGTGACTAATGATTCTATCATTTATTCTCTTACAGTAGAAGGTACTTGTAAAAACTAACCTAAAGAACTAAAAGAAAGGAAGAGGGTATACCCCTCGCACGCCTCTCGTACACACGGGTAAATATTTTAATAGAAAAGCGAATTAACTATTCTGCTCAATCAAATAAAGAACGGGTTGCAAATTAGAAAATATACGTCACAGAAAAAATATCCAATCGGTGCGCGTTTCTCGTACACCCGTGTGTACAATTGCGCGCGAAACACGCGAGAGGATACAATACACCGATATACCAGTTAATGCGTAAAACAAAAATGAGAAAAAGAAAAAGATACTTTGCAGCTTTGCTAAGTGCTGCTTTACGCTACAATATAGAATTTTTAAACCGTATACAATATTGAGTATACACTACATACTCAATATACTACTATAAATAACATCTTGCATCGTACATTGATTCATCAGTATCGCTCGTACCTCCCAGCAGGCGCGCTGCTCCCGCTATCTATCCATCACTAAACCCAGCACCACACACACACACACGTTCATCCTGTATGTATGGTATAGTGTATGTTCACTTGTATCACAAATAGGAGTAGGTATAGATATTACAATCTACAATAACTCGATTGTTACATGCTTAAAATACGAGTGTAGTTATAATAGGTAATGGGTCCCGGGTTTGATTCCCGAGTTGGGTAAAAATAATCTAGGTTTAAATTTCAGCAGTAGCACGGAGTTTGGAATTGTGCCCGGTATATGCAACAGGCTCACTCCCTATTACATGGGACTCATAAGATAAATAGCGAAAAGTGGGTGTTATTGTACAGGGGCACCGTAATTTGCACCTTTGCCTTCGGGGATAAAAGGCGTAATTTTATGGATAATTATATTGTAATAAAATTATCGTGCGAACAGCCTTAATTAAAACTTTAAATTCTAAAAAGAAGAAGAAGTCTATCTTGCCAGGTATCTGAATTTACTTATATAACTAGATCAACGTCAATTCTTTATTAAATCAATTTCGTACAGAATTTGTTTAAAGTATAAAAGAAACAAAGTGATAAATGTTGAAAGACAAAAATCACACTGAAAGCCTGCATGGATAATTTTAAAATACTAGCTTTAAGTATTTTCATAAAAGCTTAGAGAGTCTCGCAGTTTTATTATAACAATACATAGATTAAGATCAGTTATAGTAAAAAGACAATGAACGAGGCTCATAACCCGTGGCTGAATGTACAATAAAAGTATCGTACAACGTATTTAAATGTAGCCAATATTATTTTATCATGGAACCTCTTTTGATATTCTTTAAACATCGTGCAACCTGAATAATACTGGCTCGACAAGCAATTTGATTTCGTTTTAAAATGTTTATATGAATAGCTTAGTGAAGATAAACGTTCAGTCTTTTCTATCTCCGAAGGGGTAGACAGAGGAGCTCTATACGCCGTGAAATGTATTAAGTAAGTAAGTAAAATAGTTCTGTCTCAGTAATATAATAGATTTATAAAGAAATAAAATATTTAAAATAAATATAATGAACTTTTGTAAGAAGCAAACTTCGAAAGCGCACACAAACTCATAGTACATTATCAAAACATCACGCCATGTAATTCTCGAAGAGGTATTTCTCGGGTGGTGGGTATGTCATGAGCGTAGTACCAAGAAAATTTTTGGATCTTAAAAAAAATTACATCTTTTTTTATATTCTTTTAACAAATACAGACAAGACAGTAACATGCTAGATTATTATCTGGAGACAGTATTCTGTCTCTTCTAGAATTTGATTTTAAAATGATGACAAAATAAATGGCGTCGGTGCATGGTGGGTGAAGAGTGTCTTCACCTTTGTATAAGTTCTATGAATTGTGTCGCAGACTGACGCCTCGTAAACTTTTCTATCGCATACCTTTGTATAGAGTTAGAGCTTTTTAAACTGTCAAACACCGCGAGGACACCGGTGTCTGCAACCTATTGTTGTTTAATTGTGTCTATAATGACGTTACTCATAGGGTTAAAGGAGTATATAGTGCACACATAAGTATAGTAGTAGCGATGGGTTCTATGCCTTTAAAATCAGAAATTTATTTTTTCCTACTAAGTTAAAAGTTAAAAAAACATCACAATAACCATTAAATTCCCAATTAAATCGATTGAATAACGAATGTAAGAAGAGCCTAAGAATATTATACCATTTGACGTCCTCTGTTGCAATGGATGCAAGACGATCTTCATCAGAATCTGGAAGTCATCTCGTGAACAAAAGCATCCCTCTTAATCGTAGTTCAGCCCTAACTCTTCATGTGTTTGTTGTAAATAATGTCTTTAACATCAACGTATTGTTCCAGTTTCCCCAATGATCTGGGTGCCGAACCAGCTGGTGGGAGCTCCAGCCGGCACTGACGTCACAGTGGACTGCCACACGGAGGCGCACCCGCGCGCCATCTCTTATTGGGTGTACGACAACGTCATGGTACTGCCCACCAAGAAGTACGCTATCAATACTGAGGAGAACTCATATAGGTACGGAACACATTAATGTAAACTTTCTTATTATGAAGAGACACAAATTTTCATCCATTCATGTTATGTAGGCACAAGACAAGTATAATTCTAGAAGTCGTGAAATCGAAACACATTGGCTTACCTCTCTGCCTGATTTACCAATCGAATTAAAGTTTGAAACTCGAAAATCTTGCTAAAATAATCCGAGTCTTCAAATTACGACCATGCAATGTGCCAAATTGAAACTTTGCATGACGTCACGCTTTTGTAGATTGTTCATTATGACGTAATACCTAAATCCTAAAATATTTTACATTATAGTCTACTCGTAAAATTCAAACATAACATAACATCACGCCTTTTATCCCCGACGAGGTAGGCAGGCACGTTACAGCCCCACTATACAATATAACACCCACTTTTCACTATTTATGTTATGAGTCCCATGTAATAGAGGGTGAGCCTATTGCCATATACACAATTCCAGACCCCGAGCTACTACTGAGATTTTTAAGCCCATTAATAGAAAGAAAGAAAGAAAAATCATTTATTTAGCACCATACTTTGCCCGATTCTAGAATCGGACACGAGACCCCTTGCCCGGCATTCGCACTTGCGACCACTCGGTGAACGAGGCAGTCAAATTCAAAAGCCTAAGATTAAAGTTATGATAACAAAAAAATTAACCCAATCGTAACAAAAATCTAACAAAAACTACAAAATAAAGTTATAAATAAATTGATAGTTTACTAAATGGATAAGATAAGATGACGTCACACCGAGCTGTTACCTCATCCACCAGTACATTACAAAATTAATTTTAACTCTCAAACGTTCAGCTAATGGTACCATTCTACGAACTGTATTAACGTTTATTAGTGCTCCTGAGCCATTTCAATGGACGAGAGATATTCCTATAAAACAAATATTGAAATGAAGAGAAAATATTCGAGAGAACTATTTGCTTACGTAATAACTATGTATGTTCAGATACTGACTGACTTTGAGATCTGAACTGAACTGATAACATACTAGAGTATGGATTTTCAAGGAAAATATATCTAATGTATGTATTTCTAGCTTTGTAGGATAAGTGTTTTGATATTTACTACTCATTCCAGGAATTAGTCTCTAAGGAGTTTACGTTTCAATACCAATAAATACCTATCAATGTATATACTTAGTTTTAAAAGAATTTATTTTCTTAAAAGAACATCTTATTTTTTTATATAGTCACTTAAATACGAGCTAAGATACTTAGTAACATCTACAAAATTGGGACGGCGGCCTTTGTAGTGAGTGTGGGAGAGCCATGCTTCGGCACGAATGGGCCGGCTCGACTGGAGTGATACTACGGCCTCACAGAAACCCGACGTGAAGCAACGCTTGCGTTGTGTTTCATTGTGTGAGTGAGGTTACCTGAGCCCCAAAAATGAGGGGGTTAAAATCTATTTTTTAAGCGATTATTAATTGATGATAATCGATTAATTTATATGTTTAATACCTAAATATGAGTACCGGGTTATTAAATCTGTTAAAACATAATTTTTATGTTAAAATTTTACACTAAACCTTTTTGTACAATTTTAAAATATAAATATAATTGCCACAAAGTAACTACTGAATGGGTTCATTGGAAACATATCATGTGTTATTTATTAATTAATTAATACACCCAATTTACTCTTCCCAGAAATGTTTTATTTGCAATCAACTTTTCAACAGTATAAGGCTTTACCTATATTTTGGATATTTTATTTGAATCTTTAATTATACTGGTGATACCACACAGCTTGGTTTGGAAATTGAATAAACATGCATAGTATTGAAATATGTATCAGAGACATTGTAGAACATACTTTTTTAAAAAAGAGTAACGAATGGAGTTTCTAGCTCGTTCTTCTCTATTCGAATCTACATTTTGGAATGAGCACCTAGCTTCACCTAGTTTCACTGACGGACTGACTGACAGACTATTATTTATTTTGTATTTGTTGACGTTTCAAAAGTACCAAATGGTTTGACTTTAACCTCTGGCATGCTTTTCGACCAGACGCATGAATCACTTGATTGAAGCTACACAGAAGTGGGCAGTGGGCAATCAGCAATTTTTTCCTACCGTCTGTGTAGTGGTCGGAGTTTATGAATGCTACCTAAACCTTCCAGGTTAAATACGACATACGAACACAACGTAAAGAATTTAATACATAGGTAATTACAACTTGACAAATCTAAGTTGGACGCTAAACAACGGACGGGCGTGAAGTTGCCTCGCGCCATTTCAGCAAACAAGTAAATTATACGCGCCATTTGGCTCCACTGTTAACTGTCTTACAAATACATTACTAATTCTGTTATTATTATTTTATTCAATCTAACTGTTACATTACGCTTTGTGTTAATTAATATATCAACATTATCAAACTCGATTTATTTTACTTAATAACTGGAACCAACACGTCCTAAGTGTTATGGGGTCCTTGGTCTAATTCAATTAGACCAAATAGACAGGTCAGCAAAAAATTGAAAAGACGTAGATTTCATAATTTGATTAATTAAACATAACATAATAACATAACATCACGCCTTTTATCCTCGGAGGCGTAGGCAGAGGTGCACATTACGGCACATAATACCATTGTACACACCCACTTTCCACTATGAGTCCCATGGATTAGGAGTGAGATTATTGCCATTATAAGGGTTAAGTTAAGTCTATATAATCTGAATTCATGCATGATGAGTCAATAAGCAGTCTTATGTAATTTACTTTAACTCGTCGAGTACCGGTTTTGTAGACACAATTATAGAACAATAGGTTGCGGTCACCGGTGACCGCTTGGTATTTGACAGTTTAATATATTCCTGTACCTGTTATACCGTATCAGATTAAATAGTAGAGTTGTCTCATTAGCCTGGAGATCGCAATTCCTCATTCTATTAAACAAAGTTCCTCACCGATTCTCCGTCAGTTTTCAGTGTTAAGTTCAAAAATTACTGAAGAGTTTTTAATAAAATTTACCAAATGTTAGTTGGATAACATCTAAGGAGTGATCCTTAAGGTATAATAAGTTTTAAATATATATAAATAAAAGTTTTGGGTCAAACGAAAGTATTTGAGAAAATGTAATAATTTCTAAATTAGGACTATTTGCGACAAATTGATTAACTCGTCGAGTACCGTCATTATAGACACAATTATAGAACAATAGGTTGCGGTCACCGGTGACCGCTTGGTGTTTGACAGTTTAAATTACGAATATCTCAGTAACGACTCGCAAACTAATATGAGAGAGATAAACCCTATGAAATAAACTGCTCATTGTGAAATAACAAATTGTGGGCGTTTACATACATACACCTCTCTTTGTACTTTGAAATACCACTCGTGAATACATATAATGTTATATTATGATAATCATTGTGTGGTTCATCAAAGTTCGACCAATAAATTACAATTAAATTATATCATTATTTACATGACTAAGTTTTAAACGCATACGAATTCTGAAGATCGAGAATCTTTATAATGGTTTTGCTTAATCTGAGGCCTGAAACCAAATAGGACCTCCGCATATTCAAACTCAATTTAAAATTCAAATTCAAAAGTAATAATTTGCGTAAATAAGGTACAGACAACAGATAGTTGTCATTTTGTTGCACTCCTCCCAAAGAGATATAAGTATAGGGGAAACTCCTCCAAGTGTCACCTGCCAAGTATACCTCTGACTCTGTCATTTTTGTTCTGGCATTTTTATCTAATTTCTATTAATGAAGTGTATATATTGGAACTCAAATTAAAGGTAGTACTTTTATGAAAATCTTCTGAAAAGTAAACAGAACTTGGTTATAAATGTTTACGCGCATCGTTCTTTATAAAATTATAATTACCTATGTTCTAACATAAGATATGATACCTCCATTAATCTCTACCTCTTATTCCCCCAGAGCCCATATGAAGCTGACAGTCCGCAATCTACAAACGGGGGACTTTGGCAACTATAGGTGCATCTCTAAAAATTCCCTCGGGGAGACCGAGGGCTCAATCCGTCTGTACGGTAAGTGAAACTAACGGCATTACGTATTCTCATTGTAATTAGTGGCTCAGTCTCAGAGATAGAGCGCTACCATTTGCTACTGATTTGAGACTTTGTGACTACACTATGTGTTTTATTAATGTAGTATTTATTTCTTAAGTATAGTTAGACTGCTATGAGATTTCTTAAAATGATGTTTGAAAGAAGATAGTGTTGTACGTTATGCAACGGCTGGATACCCCCGCATGTTGGGAAACACATAGTGGGTCCGATACGCAAATTTTTATCCCGTGTTTGGGGTACAGACATAAGATTTCTATGATATATAAAAAAATAATGAAATTGTGTTATGAAAAATTTATAAAAAAATGTCATGTTATGTACAGGATTGTATCACATAGGTTAAATATGATTAAATTACATCATATCATTCATGACATATTTTGAGTATAAGTAATTAATTATTTTTTTGTTTCGTAGAAATCCCAATGCCGTCGACGTCGCCGAAGGCTACGGAAATGAAAAGCAATGCCAACAAAGAGAGTAAGTTCTTGTTCATATCTCTAAGTATGTACAATTGTACATTTATATATAGATACCGTGTCATATTTCGTTAATGAATTTGCAGCTTTAATGTTGCGTGATAAAGTTGCAATCTGTTAAAATTTTTCTAAATTCGTAAGCTGGTATGTGTACAGTAACAATAGCTATTATGTAAACGGGCTGTATTTGTGTTATAAATAAACACTTTCGAAAATGATAGGATTCTAAAGTCAGGTTAACTCATCTTATTTCAAAGTAAACTAAGAATTACATGTTAGGTGACTGAACATATAAAAAATCGTACCCAATGAATCGCAAACAATAATAAGTGATCGAACAACATATACAATGAAATTATTTTTCGATCACATTTTACACAAATTGATCAGTAACACCTAAGTCTAAACGATATAAGGAATATAAACACCGAGTACATAGTAAAATAAGTGGGAACACACACACGTGCAAACATTTCTCGGAGATTTCACAAAGTTGTCTAAGTTTGCGGCGCGGCGTGGTGTGGCTTCGAGACAGTAAACATGTAGTAATGACTAATTTAACTTTGGTGTTGACTTCTGCCTACATCGTCAATGGATATAAATTAGGATTAGAACATAATGAACATACATTCTTGATATTTAGGCTTAGACTAGACTTAAATAGGTACTAATGTACTTTTTTATGAGATAAGCCAGCAAACAAGCAGACGGATCACCTGATGGTAAGCAATCGGCGCACCTTACAAGTGCGTTACCGGCCTTTGTGGATTGGGAATTTGAGGATTTTCGGCGATTTGGGGATTGGGGGGACTTTGGGGCAGTTGGGCCTCCGGTAACATCACTCACACGACAAAACACAACGTAAACTTTGTTTCACAGTATTCTCTGAAGCCGTGGTATCACTCCGGTCGAGCCAGAATATGTATCAGTGGTTCACTGTTTAAGAAAGGGCTACTTTTCATGTAGCGTCATTTGACAATTGCATGCATTCATTAAAAATTATAGCTGGACTTCATGTTTTCCCATCATGGACGGTTTTCATTGTTTCTAAGCAAGATGCATTTGTCGTTTGTAGACTGCCTATAGTTTGTGAAGGATGGATGCATTAATGGATAGCCCTTTTATTTCTTCATTATTTCTCCACTGTTATAAAGAATATAGTGATTTCACTTTGTTAAAAGTATAACATGATAGTAGCAGCTTCGTTAATAGAATGATGGAATCAGTAATTATTCCATATAACATTTTAGTTATCATAATTTGACGGAGTCCATCAGTTGGAATTAAAACTATAAAGCGTGAAACGTGCGGGCGACGATAGATAGAGAAGATAAAATTACATGTGCGTAATTACGAGGGCTATCGTAAAACAAGTCATTAAAATGTTAATTAGACCGATAGTTTACCGAGCGCCGATGAGCGCATTAAAATCACCCGCAATGATTAAACCTTTTGCAATTTCGAGATAATACGCGCTGCGGCGCCAGCGCACTGGCTGGTATCAAGCGACAACCTTTTGTTATTAGGTTATTAGGCCAATGTTCTCTTCATTGGCTTTAAAATATACTTGTAATCGGATTCTAAGTACTTAAATTCATCCTTAAAATAGGAGTGGATCACCCTGATGGTAAGCAATTACCGCCGTCAATGGATACCTGTAACATCTAATGAGTTACAATAGCGTTTTGGCGTTTGAGGATTCAGACATTATGGCCTTCCTCCGGTATCTTCACTCATTCTACGAAACACAACGCAAGCGTTGTTTCACAGTGGAGTTTTCTAAAGGCCTAAAGGCTGTGGTGTTACTCCAGTCGCAGAAGCATGGATCTCCCACGTATACCTCTAAAGTGATAAGAATTTTAGCAATCAGGATCACAAGTTCTGTTCGCATGCTGATCAACCGAGCTGTTTCAAATATTTATTTGTCATATTATGCATAATTCTAAAACATTTCATTTGTATTGAAAGAATGTTTATCGAATTGATTAAGTAATTACCGATGATCATTGTTTCAATGTAGCCAGCAGTTTTACCAAGATGACAGAAAAGAAAATTTGAGTTTCCAAATAAATCGGCTCAATAGAAACTGGAATATTTTCTTTGAATTTCCAATAGTACTAAGAGAAAAGTTTGGTTGCGTTTATTCAGTTACACGTTGGCTAAAACTGCTGGTAGTTGTTTGATCACATTCATGGTAGCTGCATGTTGAGACGAGGCGTGTTGCAGGCGTGAGACGCGTGAACGTGAGCCGGTCCGTGGCGCGTGCTGAGCCAGGCACGGAGCGGCCGAGCGTGGTGCGCGCGCAGCTCGACCGCGCGCCCGACCGCGACGCCGCGCACCACGTCTACCGCCCGCCTCACCCGCAGCACGTCTCAGGTAACCCGAACAAACTCACCAATGGATCACGTACAAACAATAACCTGCTATTTCGAAGCCTTTCATTTTTTGTTAATTTCAGTCATATCTCACATTAAGGTCTAATGTGTTGTGACATGTTTCGTGTAAAAGAAAATACAATCTTCTAGCTACAAGGGCCTTCAAGACACGCTCGCTTCATACAGTATATTAGAAACATGTTGAATACAGGCGAAAATATTTTTCCTGTTGAATACCTTCAGGAAAAACATCAGCATACAGTCGTACCGTACCTACGAGAATCAATCTGTTGCTTCAAACATTTCATCAACATTGGGATCCGTGTGCTGAGGGAAGCGGAGTGTGTAATGTGTCGCCGTGTCAGATATTGAAGGAAACAGTCCCCGAGGTGTGGCGACACACAGCTCAGTTTATTAACCTCTCGGCCCGCTAACGATCAAACCCCAACTTTACGCATTGTTGACTCCGCAACTTATGTCCCGCCGTACGCAACGTACGCACCATTTTACGCATCATCGTACATTGTTATGTTTATTTTATCGCAATCTCGGAACAGGAAAATCATATTACTTACATTCCGGATTGACTTCTCGCGCAGTGTATGGTTGGTTTCATTCAGTTTCGTTAGAATAAAGTTAATAGGAATCTGCAAAGTTCTATTGGCATGACTATTCAACTAGTGAATAGACCAAGTAATACATTATTGATAGTATTACAGAAGAAATGCTTACAAGTACTTTATGGCATTAGTACTGTTTTCGTCTTTACCTTTCAGTACTTATGTTTTCCTTATTCCCTATTTGTGTTTGTGCGAGTTCCGCCTCCATCAAATAGTAGTACCAATCCATCAAACAACCAAAACTTAATACATAAAGCCTTTAATATAATAGCGCACAAAGCGAGTCGACTCACAGGAGGCTTTACTTACCTCTTTGTATTCTTTGTTACAATATACTGCATTATTAAAAACGTCTCTTTCCCGTCTCATGGTAAAAAATAAATGTGGCCGGAGAAGTCGCGGCGGAATGGCTTGTGGAATATGTTACGAGGCCTGAACGTCGCTATTGTTTGAATGACTCCAAATGCTAAGAGCATTTCGGGCTTTTATCTTTGCACAAGGAATTGTGGATCCACTCGCATTACCGACCGTGAGCGCATACGACTTTATTTGTCTGCGCTACTAGCGAGCGAGCTGCTACATCACTCATTCTTGTAGTCAGTGTAGTCATTTTAGTTTATGGCAGCATGGTGTAATATGCAAGAAATATTCTACATAGATTGCTATTTTCTTTAACTGATATGTTAACGAAAGGCTTAACAGAGTAACATCATTCACAATGCCTATTTTCTCTCAATTTATTTATCAACCAGAAAAGGGGAACCTATAAATAAGAGAGTTTTTAATTTGTATGAATAATATTCTAAGTTCAGTAAAAGTCCATACGAATGTTACTGACAGACTGTTTTCACAAGTTTGGGGGAAATTACAAAGAAATAGTTTTAGATTTAGTCACGACCCGACGACGGGGCGAGGGATACACTGGTAGCAACATTTCGGAGTACATTATTATTGTAACAGTGGCTCAGGCGCTGCGGTCTACGCACACACACACACACACACACACACACACACACACACACACACACACACGACGCATGCGACAGACAAGTGCGCAGCGTCGGTGTGTCTCCGCCCTAGCGCACAGTCTTGACTACTGCGGTTGAGATCCACCCGGCTCGCTTTCCCGTACACCCAAATAGAGATTAAACATTCAACGAGTTCGCATACACACTTAACCCTCATAAATATTCAGTGCAGACCGCGTACAATCAATTCTTGCAGCTCTCGCCCTCCACGAAAAAGTGTTTGAACAGCCGAATAATATGATATCAAATAGAGACGCCTAACGTTTGAATAAATATTGGGATATGAAACTTGAATATCTTTATCTCGAATTTGGCTTTATTTACCTCCGGTACGCTTTGTTGCGTGCGAATATTGGCGATTGATTTATAACCGCGCCAACCCTTTCGTCCCGTCATGGAAGTGAAATCATTGCATTTTCTGTTGACAGTACAATTTATTACTATAACAGTAATACAATATGACGTCAAAACAAACATTTTTGCTTTTTCAAAATCCATTTGGATTGTGTTATCATAATCTTTGTGATAGGTATCACAAAGAGCCCGTGTTTATGGTGCTATGTAAAATAACGCACGAACTCAAACACATCAGGGTTGTAAACAAAACAAATCCCATTGTTCGCGGAGCTGGGAAAGTAGACCGTAAGCTGTTGAAACGCTCTTATCGTGGTAAACAAAAATAGCGACAATGGTCTCAGCGACGCGCTCGATGTATTTAGAATGAAGAATCCGTTCGGCCGATATCGCACCAGTACCTGCGCCAGTAGGTGTACAGCTGACTGCGTGCCGCGGCTTGCCACTCCAATGTACACGGGCGCGGGTGTCGACAACTGAGGGATTTAAATGTCCCGTTTATTTAAATGGAAGTCATTTTCCTTTTTTTTAAGTACTTTTTTATCATTCGTTCGGGTCTTTTCTCTAAGATTTTTTGATTTCTTCTTTTATTTTTTCAATATTACGTTTTGATAAATTTACAAACGTGGATAAGATAAAATTAAATACCCATAGAAAATGAACATAAACTTTTACAGTTCACCTATAACATTGGTGTCTCTTTTGTTGCAGGATCGAGACGAATCCACTGTTGGCGGCAATCGTTCCTGGCGATCATTGTATTAGTACAAGTGGACCTCATCGTGTAATTATATTGTTATTACATTCATTGTCCTTTCATTTTGTTACACCTCTTCATTTGATTACACCTAGAATTTATGACAACACATTCATTTCTTGTTTGTAAAGTTTTAGATTCGTCTTCCTGTGAATGTGATCGATGTTTTTAATGTTACTTAATGTAAAATTGAAACATATCATCCCGAAATTGTGACGTCATATCCCGAACGAAGAATGTATGTGAGTGATCATTTTATACAAATACGAACGATATTTGGTTCAAATACCAGTGTAAGGTGTAGATGTAAGGTTCTATTTTATTTTTACATACTATACATATTTAATACTAATCTGGAAATAGTAACAAACCTTAAATGATCTCTTGTTACATTTCTGAAAGTTAAGCATACAGCCTATTTGCTCATTAAAATGTAAATCAAAAAATGGTGCACGTTCGAAACAGCTGAGTAGACTGTGCTGGCCGCTGGCTGTTTGTTTCCGCAGAGAATTTGAAATAATCTGCAAAACGTTCGTGATTCAATGGAATACTATTTGAGATTCCTCCATCAGTGCACACGGGTTTCCACAATAGCTCGATGTAATTATTCATGAACCTCGTTAACCTACTCGGTATTTCCTACTCCCATTTCCATTTTAAATTATACATTACGTATTATACGTGCATTGTCCTTCCGCAGACGACTAGTCTGCCGGCACACGAATATTTGTGATTCAGTGCTTTGCGTAGAATAATCTTCATGAAATTGTGCCAAAGATAAGATCTTCAAAGTTATTTATACTATACACAATATTCCTTTCAGAAACTTAATGTAGGTTCCAACTCCTTCTTGTGTTATCTCACTAATAAATAAACTTTATGTACATCTTGTGGTTTGTTTAAATAGTGTATCCAAGCTTGCTATTCACGCTTGTCAAATTGTAAATATAAATCTAATGCACAGTAAATAAAAATAACGAAAATTTTAAACGTAATATATCTTCGTATCTGAATATTATTTGTTAATTCGACCTAATATAGATATATTATAATATGTTAATGTATAAATTATAAATATCTTTTATTAAAAATAAGAGATATATCACTAGTTTATATGTATACCCATATTGTACAGTTTGTGTGATTTTGAAAATGTAAATAAATGCATTATAATAAAATTAGTATTAAAAGGAGAAGATTTTTACTGAAAACAGTCTGAAAAGTTCCTTATATACAAGTCGTATTTTGAAAGGAGGGAGCTATGGAGCAGGCGTGTGGGAGCAATGGAGCGGCTGCAGCGGCCTATTATACGGAGACACGTGATAGCGATAAACGTTTGAAATAATTAAAAGTGCGCGCCGGCCGCCGCCGGGTCGCGCTCAGACAATCTTATCGCCGCTCTCACTCACTGACAGACGTTATCGCCATCCGAGAATCTATGGCTCGCTTTAATTGATTCCCTACTTTCAATAGCTCTGCAATCGGCTCTTTGTCTTTTTCTAATCGAAATTCAGCCAAAGTAGGAGGGAAGCTAACGAATTTTTCTTGAAACAACCGACCGATCGGAAGCTGAAAATAAATACTGTTTGTTAAAGTGGCTCGTGGCAGTTGGAAAAACAAGTGGCGTTAAAACAGAAAGCTTAATGGTCGGGGGCCGACGATACAAATATATGGCTAATGTTGATAGAAACACTCCCACAGTATCGGGGCTGTAATGTGCTGCTTTATTTATCCCTTCCCTGATGATACACCAACCAATTGAGTTGTTTGTAAAGTATTTATTTTCATACGAATCGTTACAAGCAGACAGCATTGCTCTCATGACTACACGATTTTAGTGGTAACTTGAGTAGCGAACCCGAGTAGCAACTTGGGTTCGAATTCCATGTGTGTTATCTATACATGTTTTCAACAAATTGGTATTTTGGACCCAAGTTTGACGCGTAAATAACCAGTAATTAGTGCGTTAACTACTTGCAACCGGTAAAAAGTAAGGCCTCGAGACAAACAGCAAATATACTCTAACTTATAACTCTCGAGAAGTCCGTGTTACGTTTCATAGTTACTATGTGCACCTTCGAGAAAGAAATTTCACTTCCCCGAAGTGACATGATGAAGTGTAGTTGATCCTGTATTACATGTGCGAGGCTCGAAGGCTCGGTCCGCCGACACTTGTACCATTTCTCGCTCCACTGCCCGCCTTATCTCGCGTTACGATACGGGACCTTACTTACGATTCCGCTGAAATACATATTCTGTGAAATATTATTTTTCAGACGAACGAGTTTATAATGTAAGTTGTAGATTGTAGACCGTGTCATGTAGTTTAATACTTGTGATTGTGTATAACACCTGACTATTTAAGATTTTTTAATATCAGTTTAACTTTTTTAGATCATAAATATTTTGATGCTTCCAAAAAATCGAATGACTCAAAAAATCTGCCTTATTTTTAATATTGTGTTACTTCTAACATATACCTAAGTATATACACGTCAAAGGAATGATCATCTCCAGTGATCTCGATACACTGTAGGTAGTTGAATAACTTAGACGACACTTGCATTTGGACATCTAACATAATATATCCTATCCCTGGTATACTTTAAAGCCATTCAGTTATTCAGTATGTGATTGTTACAAATGTATAGTTACCACTATAAACTCATACAGATACAGTCGTAGGCCCTCCGCGGCCGTCACGTTCCCAACCCTTTTTCTTCATAATACGAGAACACTTTGGGCGTAATATTTCATATTTAAAAGCAATATCATATTTTTCCTTCGGGTGCGGTCTTGTTACTTTTACGAGTTACTTGTGCTCGGGCACTCGATGTTTCTGTCTATCGTGACGTAATATTATACACAAACAGTGACAATATATGGCAATTTCAAACGTTTGTGTTTTTTTGTTTAATGTGGGAAATCATCCCATGACTCCTCCCGCCTTGAATGATGCAAGAAGGAGTGTCAGATTCTTACTGCCAAAAACCCCGTTCCTCCTGCTTTGAACCGGAGCTACGGCAACCAATAGGTTTTTCGCGGCTTCGAATCGAGCATCGCTCTGCTGGGCCCCATCTATGGTGGTCTGATGGCTGTTTGAAGCAGGCGTGGAATGCGACGCGCCGTACGCTCGGGTCTCATTCTGGTCGGGTGACGAGCTTGCGAGCCTTGTTTCGTCGTCCACAGATCAGTGCTTACGGTGGCCGGAGATCGACTCGTAATCCGATACGCCCAGTTTTTCAAACGAAATTTTATAACTTACTTTTTAGTTTAATAGGTATAGGCAAATTCATTTTCTTTCATTCAATTCATTCGTATAATATTTAACAATTAATGTTTTTTAACCTCAACTTTTACTACAAATACATATTAATCTTGCACTTATTATCTAACAAAAGTCGTGCCTTAAACAAAATATATACTGATGCACGAATATCGCGATGTGGTAGTCGCCACATACGTAATGGTAATTAGGTTTTTCTAGGCAATACTTATCATCTAATTGCACTTGCTTGAACCTGGAATCTATTAAATAGTCCATAACAACAAAGTCTTCGTAGTTTTCTTACTATGAGTTTTCTTTTTAGTCGTCCAAATGTATTTGTTACACTTGGCCTTGCCGCCAGGGCACAGCAGGAACGGCTCGTCGTTGTCGTCCGAGTCAGGCTTCACTCCGCCAGGGTAGGGAGGCATCGTGCTGGTAGTGCTCTGTGTGGGCCCGTTGACGGGTGGGGCGGTACTCGGTTTGTTATTGTCATTTGTCTTGTTGTTATTCGTCCCGTTGTTTAGCTGCATTAGGAGCGGGTAGTCGTGCTCCACTCTGGGATAGAAATACGACTGTAGTTTCGCTTGCGGAGTTACTTGTTGCATCAGGCGCGGTGTCGCTGGAAGCCTGGGATTCTGGGTCCCGAATCTGGGTGCTATCGTCACATTTTGTTTATAAATACTTCCCGTTAAATAGTTACTGGACGGTTTATATGCACTTTGTGGTCTTTGAATAGTTTGCGTTGCCATCGTTTGAGGTACCATCAGTGGAGGCGACCTTGGCTGAAGCATAACCATTCGAGTTGTGATCATGGTTTGTGGCGACATCTGCCTGAGAACTGGTGGCCTCATGGCAGGGTACCTCTGCACTGGTGGCGTGGGCATCATCTGTCGCGCTGTGTCCGGCCACCTTCGGATCGTGTAACACACCCGCTGGTAATTGTTATGTAATGCTGATAATTGTCTATTTTCTACGCAAGTAGTAGGTTGTTCACAGCCCGGGAAAGGAACAGGTCCACACACAGGTCTCTGTCTCGGTAGTAGTTGTACTGACTGTGGCAACGGCTGGCCGAGTCGGACAGGTTGCATCATATTTGTTCTGTAAACATTGGACATGTCCATCGCGGAACGAAATGGGAACACGTTGGCAGACACCGGGCACTCAATTATTGCTATGTAGTAGAGTATAATGCACCACATCACTTATGTATGTCCCACAGCGGACATAATTTTAGAAAATGTTAATACAAGACAAGCCGCGACGCGACTACAACGATAAAGTAAGTAAATTATAATTTTAAACCTAATCCGCGGGCACATTGTTGTGTTTTGCTGTGAAAATAATTTAATCAGTTTTATTTAAAGTACTTCTTTTTTAATTTTCTCTATTTGTAAAACGCATTCGCATGACCGCGCGGTTGTAATGAATGTTAATAATATACATTCACCGATGATATTGAATATCTCAAAAATCTAAAACTCAATAACATGTTACTATAAATTCTCGATAATATTGTCCCGAAATCAATCAACTATCGTGTGTACGCTGGCCCCTCCCTTATTACAGCAGACGCATAATTAACAAAACTGAATAAAAGTTACTGTCACAAGGATACAATTCTTAAAACCATACCTAAAATTAAAGATGTAAAAACTGAAAAATATTCTGTCATGGAAATGTAACCAAACGAAGCAATGATTAAAATAAGACGAAAGGATTATTGAGGTTTTTCAGGTGGTGAGCAGTTAGCAGATATCCGCAAGAGGCTCGTGGTTCAGACCACCAGCAGCAGCGTAGTGTCAAGAGACGTTGTTATTGAGTTCCTTTTATCTGGGTTGCTCACGGTTATTACGAGCCCCGTCTCACGGTTGACAAGGGTAAATCCCCTTTCTTCATATTCCCGCGCACGTTTCCCACGCCTGACGGTTTTTATGTCCGTCCGTTACAATAAATATAATACCGTGTGCATGCCCAATATTGACAACGTTTACAACTTTACAGTTACACGTATCTATTTATTGAAGACGTGGACCAATGTGTATACCTCTACAGCTCAGCATCAAATGATCATTGGCTATTGGTCTCATTCTGTCTAGTATTATAAACCTTATCATACTCAATTTAAACATACTACCTAAATATGTAAACCAATTTGTCAATTGGAATGTTGAATTGATGTACCTTTACATTACAACTACAACTCAAAAAATATTAGTTTACAAATCAGAGATTTGACATTGATCACCAACCCCACAGAAAAACTAATTAAGATTTGTTTAAATAATATATCATTAAATAGTAACAGTACGTGTAAAGCAGTATTATACAATATCAAACTCGTAATTTACTATGCATAGAGTTCAAATTACAATAATTTAATGAACAAATCTTCTTGACTTGGAGAATTGTCCAGAGGCAACGACTGTTTTGTTGGTAATGGCGAAAGGAATCGACGAGTGCCGAGCTGTTGTTCAGGCATCCGCATTAGTAAGGGCTTGGTCACAAACTGTGACATGGTTAGTGGTGTGGTACGTGGTGTGCCACGCGAAGACACCTTCATAGTCCTTTCAGAGTACAATACCGGCGTCAAATCTTTGGTTGTCCTCAGAGCATTAAACCGGCTATGACCTGGCAGTAGCACAGTGTTGCAGATCACCTCCGGGTTCTCATTCTGATGCAGTATCTCCAAATACGGAGGGTACACTTTCTTATAGCAAGTAGTTGGCATTTCACAACT